TTGCCAACCAACAGCCACATAAGGCAGTCTAGCCAGTTTAGCTGAAGCAGCAAGGAGCCATGAGGGAGCTTTAGGAGGTAACAAGTGCCAGGCTAGTCAGACCACCACCACCACTTTGCCCACCATCTCTCATTAGACCCCTGAGAATCTTTCAGCTGGAGACAGTGTGGGACCCTGAATGCTAGAGCCCCAGGAATGGCAATCCTTCCAGCCCAGCCCCCTCGGTCATCACCCTGGGAAGCAGCCCTGTGGAGATGCAGCCTGTCCACTGCTTCTGAAGGTGCTGCAATCACAGCTACTGAAGATCCAGGAAAGAAAGCTCTTGTCAACAAAGTCCTTGGCACTGTCAGATGGTTCACTTTCAGAAACTGATTCGTTTTTATCAGTGGAAATAATAATAATAATAATACTAGCTAACATTTTCTATAGCAGTACTACATGCCAGGCACTGTGCTTTACAAATATCTCATTTGGTCCTCACAACAACTTTGGAATTTAGATGCTATTATTATCCCCATTTTAGAGATGAAGAAATTGAGACAAACAGAAGTAAAGTGACTTGCATAGGGTCACTCAGCTAGTAAGTATCTGGGGCTAGATTTGAATTGACTCAGACCCGGCGTTCTATCCATTGCCCTACATAGCTGAAATAACTTAAAGAAGATGCACTATCATATGCTTATCCACTGTACCCTAAGAACCTTTCCATTTGACTTGTAGCTGAAACCTTTATGTGTTGTTTCTCCTATTAGAAAGTGGGTTCCTTGAGAGCAGGAACTGTCTTTTTTACATTCTTAAAAAATTTTTTTCCACGTAATAGTATTTTTTCCAATTACATATAAAGATGGTTTTCAACATTCACTTTTATAAGATTTTGTGTCCCACATTTTTTCTGTCTCCTTTCCCTCCCTCCTCCCACAACGGCATGAAATCCGATATAGGCTACACGTGTACAATCATATTAAACGTATTTCCACATTAGTCATGTGAAAGAACAAATGGGAAAACCACAAAAAAAAAATATTACTCTTTGATCTGTATTCAGACTCCATAGTTCTTTCTCTGGATGTGGATAGCATTTTCCATCATGAGCCTTTCAGAATTGTCTTGGATCATCCTTTGCTGAGAAGAGCTAAGTCTATCAAACTAAGTCATCACACAATGTAGCTGTTACTATGTACAATGTCCTCCTGGTTCTGCTCACTTCATTCAGGATCAGTTCATGTAAGTCTTTCCAGGTTTTTCTGAAATCCGCTGAGCAGGAACTATCTTAAAATTTTCTTGTTATATCCCCAGCCTTAGCGCAGTGCTTTGCAGATTAAAAGTACTTAATATTTTTTTTTCATTCATTCACTATCTAATCAAATGTACTGCTCATAGTTGGTTGAACCGAATTGAAGCTTTTGGGAAAGTGTTTTAGGCTCTGGACTGATCTGAACCTAGGTCGGCTACCCTAACCCTCCACAGTAATCCACCTTGGTGTTTCGTTCTTTCTTGGCAGAGGATAGGGTATAGGGGTCTCAAGGGTTTCTACAAGTATCAGGAATTGATATTACCATCTTTGTCCAAATCCCCAAGGGGTCCAGGTCCAAGGAGGGGAAGGCCACTTTCAGAGAACTTCCTAATTTTAAATTATTTGTTCCTATGTTCCCAAGTGTCTTTTGGATACATTGACTGTTGGCCCATATTTCCCAAATGTTGGAGGCATTCACTAAGTGATCAAGCATTCATTCAGGGCTATGTGACAGGAAGGATCAAGAAAATGCAATCCCTCATTTTTTCTTCCTTCCTTCCTTCCTTCCTTCCTAACAATACGTACTTGTTACAATAATGGAAAGAACATAAAGCAATCAAAACTTTATATTGAGAAATTATAAAGAACAAGCTTTCCTGCAAAGAAAAGATATGGAAGGACACCTCCCCCTTCTGCTTTACGGAGAGTGGAAATCCACAGATGTGTATGGTTGAATATAATGTCAGATTCCCTCATTTTTGGAGAGACTGAGCAAGCTCTTTTCACTCTAGCCCCATCCCAAAAGTTGGCGAAAAGGGCATTTGGACTACTGGAAATGTCCCTAGAATGGATTAGGTCATAGAGACATCAAACCAGGACCCTCAGATTACCTGGGGTTGCTTAAAATTTGTGATCATAGTTTAGGAACTAGAAATGACCTTAGGGAGGAGCCCGGCTAGCAATAATTCCTAATGCTGCCCAAACCGGATTAAAATGTAACTGGGAAATATTTAACAAAATAAAAATACAACAGAACATAAATTACGTTATTATAGGGTATTCTAAATCAGTGTGCAGATGTAGGAATTCTCATATACCATTCAATGGTCCCCTTTCTATTTGGATTTGACATCACTGATCTACTCTAACCTCCTCAATCTGCAGATGGAGCAACTGAAGCAAGGCAGAAGAGTCAGGATTGGAACCCAGGTGCTCTGATTCCAGACTCAGCTACCTTTTCACTATGCATAGATTATTCAGCTTTCATTTCCTTTTTCATCTAAATATATAAGTAGATGAACAAGTCTTCATGAAAAGAAATAAAAATTTAGATAGCCAAATAAATCAATGATATAAACACAAATGCAATTTGAATGGGAAGCCACAGTGTCTCTTAACATCAGCTTCTTCATCAGTAAAATGAAGATAATGATACCTATTTCCCTCGTGCTGCTGTGATGGATTAGCAGCTGCAAAAAAGGAGACCCTGTCCTGCTGGTCCTGCTGGCTCTGGTCTTGGAGCAGAGTAAGGCCGGGTGGATACTGGGAAGCTCGCCTTGCCAATGAAACTGGGCGTGTAGGGAGTGGGAGCATAAGGGGACAAAAGGGGAGTCATAGATTTGGTCAAGGAAGGGATACTGGGAGGAGGGCAAGGCCCCTGGGGGCCCCAGAAGGGAAAGGAAAGGGGAACAAGTATTTTTTAAGCACCTACTATGTGCTAGGCACTGTACTAAGTGCTTTGAAAATATTAGTAACTTGCTCAAAGCTGCAATAGGCACTGCCCAGGACACAAACTTAGAGCTAGGGCTCTTTTCATCAGAGCAAGCCTCTTAGTTTCACCTGTGGTGTCTCTCTTCCTCCTCCTTCTCCTCCTCCTCTCCTCCTCCTCCTCCTCCTCCTCCTCCTCCTCCTCCTCCTCCCCTTCCCCCTTGGTGTAATTTTCATTGGTGACCAGTTGCTTTTTAAAGTCAGGTATAATCGAATGAAAAAGCTCTGGATTTGGAGTTGGGGCAACTGCGTTTATCCAAGTGGATCCAAACACAGTTGCCCCAACTCCGCCCTGCCACTTTCTATGTGTAACTTTGGGCATGGTCACTTAATCTCTCTCTGCCTCAGTTTCCTCAACTGTAAAATGGGAATAATAACAGCACTTATTTCACAAGGTTGTTGCAAGGATTAAATGAGAAAATATTTGCTAAGCGCTTAGCATAGTGCCTGATGCATAGTAGATGTTATATAAATGCTAGATATCATTATTATCTCCTACTGTTATTGTGAGTTTCAAATTAGATAACAAACATTAAATTTATAAAGCACAAGGCTATATACAATGTATGGTGACCCCTAAAATCTCTTCCAGGTCTGACATTCTATTTTCCAAGATTTGACATCCTATGTTCTAAGGAACTATTGGGTCCTGGCAGTCTATGTCATGTATCCTAACATTCTGTGTTTTGAGGTCCCTCTGAACTCCAGTATTCTATGGTCTATGACCCCATGGCTCCATAACCTCATTATGCCAGAGTGAGATATGAGAGTAGAGAAGAAGTTACAAATTGGTGATTATTCCAGGTACAAGAAGACAGGGAGCACTCATGGGGTGACTGAGGGCCCAGAATTCTGGGTCAGGGCAAGGTGAGTGACTGGGCTGTGTAGGCATCCAAACCATAAGTGGGGGAGAGGTCAGGAGAGGAGCCAAAACAGCTACTTCATGTTTTGTAACTGGGTAACTTTCTCTGTTCTTTATCTGTCATCTTATTTGGTATACACTTATAGTTCTTCTCTAACCTATTACTAAACCAGTTTAGAAAAAATGTCCATACTTAATTCATCAACATCATAAACTACAATTTTTCACAGTCTTCTGGGTATTTCTTCTTCCTCCCACATCAAAGATGAAGAAATTAATGCTAATTAATGTTAAATGACTCATCTAAGGTCTTAGAAACAGTGATAGAGCTCCTGGAACTGATCCATGGAAATATTAGGTTGAGGGCAAGATGGAGGTGAGATCGATGGGGTTGGGAGGGAAATTGTTGCTTTTGTTGTTTGACTCTTAGTGATCCCATTTGGGGTTTTCTTGCAGAGATACTGGAATGGTTTTCCATTTCCTTCTCCAGCTCATTTTACAGATGAGGAAACTGAGGTAAACAGGGTTAAGTGACTTGCCCAAAGTCACACAGCTGGTAAATGTCTGAAGCTGGATTTGAATTCAGGTCTTCCTGACTCCAGACCTGGCACTCTGTCCAATTATAGAGCGCCCAGCATCACTTTAGGTCTTGTGGGAGATAAAGAACTAAGAGACATAGTCTTTGCCCTCCAAGTGGTCACCATGTAGGTGAGATCATAGATTAGAAATGGAATCTTTAGATTTAGAATCATTTGGACAGAATCTTTAGAACTGCAATGATTTAGGAGCATTCAGAGCAACATCCCTTTTCATGCTCATTTTCTTTCATTTAGCACAGTGAACAGAGTAGGCACTTAATAAATGCTAATTGACTAGTTGACTGAATGATAGAGGAGGAAACCAAGGCTCAGGAAGATTAAGTTTGACCTGCCACTTACTTGCCCTATAACTTTGAATGTCAGTCATTGACTGTCTGAGCCTGTTTTCCTCACCTGTAAAATGGTATGCCCTGTCTAGCTCACTGTAACTATCTCACACTGTCCTTGTGAGGTCACACAGGTGACAAGTGGCAGAGGCAAGGATGTGAACCCCAGCTCCTCTGACTCCAAATGCAGTGTGCTCTTTTTATTACCCCAACAGGTGGCATATATACACCCGCTTCCCTTTAAGCAGCATCCGATCAGTGCTGAGTGAGCAGTACAGACTATTGTGATGTGGCAGTTGAGAGGATAGAGGGCTGAGGTGGTCAGGGACAGCTACAGGGAAGAGCTAATCATTCATCCTAGCCAAGCCTGGAAAGATGAGTAGGATTTGGAAACAGGTAAGGGAGCCAAGGGTGGGGTAGAAGCTGCCTTAACCTTTCTCCAGATTCCCTCTCCCATTCTCACCTCTGGCTTCTTTCCCTTACTCCTCAACTCTACCTCCGTGGAGGAGGAACCATGCCAGAAAAGGGAGAGGCATTTAATCCCAGCTTCCTGCTACCTGAGCAATAGGAAACTGATGCTGACAAAAAACAAGCAGGGCTCACAGGTCCTCTCTGTCTGGTTGCATCCCTCCCCTTTGTCCATACTGACTGGTTCTTTAGGACCTAAAGTAATTGATGGTCCCTGGAACCTGTCCTGGGGCAAATGGCAAGGGGCATTCCATAACTCCATGACCACTGGTCTTAGGAGAGTCTCTAAGGGGAAACATATGCCTCCTTCCACTCCAGTCCAAGAGCTCTAAGATAGAGAGACCAAGAGGTAGAAACTAAGAGACTGAGGCACAAAAGGAAAGGAAAATAAAAGTGAGTGAAGGGGAGAGGGAATAAACATTTGTTAAGGGTCTACCATGTGCCAGGCACTGTGCTAAGTGTTTTACAGATATTCTCATTTGGAATAAAGAAATGTAAAGAGACAGAAAATAGATGGATGATAATACAAGATACAAGTTAGTAAGAGAAAGAAATAGATCTAGGAGGAATGGTCTGAAAAAGGGGAGAGGGAGAGGAAATCTCTGTGAGGAAAAAAAAATGAATGAAATTTAGCATGTACTATGTAATGTCCAGCATTGGGAATACAGATAGAACACTGGGGCTGTTCCTGCTCTCAAGGAGTTCACAGTTTAATTTTCACTTCCTGTCTTCTGATTATTTCTACTACTTCCTGTATTACAGATGAGGAAACTAATGCTAACTAAAGTCAGATGACTTGTCCACGGTGGCACAGTGTAAGAGCTCCATGGAGATGTTAGGTGAGAGTAGGATGGAGGTGGGTCTGAAAGGATGGGGGGGAAAGGAAGAAAGAAAGAAGAAAGAAAGGAAGATGGGAAGGAAGGAAAGATGGAGGGAAGAAAGGAAGGAGGGAAAGAAGGGAAGGGAGGAAAAAGGGAAGGAAGAAATAGAAGAAGGAAGGAGGGAAGAAGAAAAGAAGGAAAGGACTTTTTTGATTCCTGATTTTGGATAACTACCAAAATGCTTCCCTCATTACTTGTCCCCTTTCCTCTCCAATTGCCACCACCATTTTGGGCGTGTTCCCAGCAACCTATTTTCGATCTCTCTTTGACCTACCCAGGCTACAGAAGTGTATTTTCTAGGGGTTATTTTGTAAGGGAATAGATGACATACAAATTTAGAAATAACACGAGAGTAGGGTAATTAGGAGTCTAGAGAAAAGAAAACTACCTAGTTTCATACTCAAGGCATGTAAGCCTCCTTGTTGTTCTATCTAGGGACGGTTGTACAGGCCTAGATTGACCCATGAGCCTCCCTGTCTCTGGGGAAACAAAGGCATCAAATAAAACAATGCCTACTTTCGAGGAGCTTACATTCTATCAAGGAGACAATATGCACAGGGTTCTTGTGAACTAGTTGTGAGGTACTTAGCACAGTGCCTGGCACACAGTAGGTGCTTAATAAATGCTGTTCTCGCCTTCCCTCACTTTATTATTTTTGGTCATTGTTGTTGTTCTTAGTCTTCCTCCTCAGGCTTACTTAGCTCCAACTTATAGTCTTCTCACAGGGCCATGCCATATTTTTGCTTTCATCTCCGATTATTTATCCTTGCTTTCTGTCTTCCGTATGTGTCTTTCTTTCTTTTCTTTTGCTTTTTTTTTTTTTGCAGTCAGGGTTAAGTGACTTGCCCAGAGTCACACAGCTAGTAAGTGTCAAGTATCTGAGGCCGGATTTGAACTCAGGTCCTCCTGACTCCAAGGCTGCAGCTCTATCCACTGAGCCACCTAGCTGCCCCCATCTTTCAAACATTTAAGTGGCTTCATGAATTCCGTGTACATCCACATTTGTCTCTTAAGACAACTCCCCTTTCTTTTCATCATCAGAATTGTTTCTTTTCTTGTCTTCAGAGTTTCATTCTTGAGAAATTTTTGTCCTGGGGGCAGGTAGGTAGTGCAGTACATGGAGCACCAGCCTTGGAGTCAGGAGGACCTGAGTTCAAATTCGGCCTCAGACATTTACTAGCTGTATGACCCTGGGCAAGTCACTTAACTCCAATTGCCTTGCCCCCCCAAAAAGACATTTTTATCCCCCTTGGGAACCCACTAATCTTTTTTTCTCAACCCTTTGAAATCTAGTCCTTCCAAACCTGGAGGGCATGTTAGGCTATATCTGACTTTCCTCTCCTCTATCAGAAATCCTAACATGAAGTGGTCACTCCCTTCCAAAGCTTTCAAAATTTCTTCCCTAGCCATTAGTTCTTCCTTTTGAGTAAAAGTCATAACCAGAATAGAATTTCCCCTCCCCCCTTATTTGCATCTTTTGAAGGATGAAATTATTATTAAGATAAGTCAAGAATTATTAGCAGTTGTGCTTGGGCAGAAAGCAGATGCTTCTGTAATTGGAATCCCCTCTTACTGCTACTTCCACTTCTCTGAGCCAGGCTTGTGATTTATTTCCTGAATTCCTTATGTATTTCCTTCTTCTGTCCAGGTGGTATGTAGTTTACTCTGATGATAATCTCATTTCTATTTATGTTGCCACTGATTTTCACACAAGTGCATTCCATATCTCCCTTCATTGCTTTCTGCATTTTTTCATATGTCTATATCTTTTTTTTTTTTTTGGTAAGGCAATTGGGATTAAATGACTTGCCCAGAGTCACACAGATAGTAAGTGTTATGTGTGTGAGACCAGATTTGAACTCAGGTTCTCCTGACTCCAGGGCTGGTGCTGTATCCACTGCGCCACTTAGCTGCCCCTCTATATCTTCTTAATATACAATACTGCTGCCCCTGTTCTTCTCACACCCCTTCACTTTATCTATCTTGTTCTTTTTGAATATGGTATAATCTTCATGACCATATTCTTGTGTCTCAGTGATATGGATACTTACAAGGTAAAATTTTGCCTTCTTGCACTAAGAGCTCTAGTTCACCTTGCTTCTTATGCATACTTTGTATATTTGTGTATAGATAGTTCACCTTGCTTCTTATGCATACTTTGTATATTTGTGTATAGATATCTGAGGTCATGGGCAGCTAAGTGACTCAGTGGATAGAGTGCTGGCCCTGCAGTCAGGAAGACTCATCTTCCTGAGTTGAAATCTGGCCTCAGACACTAGCTATGTGACCCTGGGCAAGTCACTTAACCCTGTTTGCCTAAGTTTCCTTATCTGTAAAATGAGCTGGAGAAAGAAATGGCAAACTGATTCAGTATCTTTGCCAGGAAAACCCCAAAATGGTGTCATGCAACCTCAGACACAACTTAAAAATGACTGAACAACAACAAAAATCTGGGGTCATAGGTTTTATTACTGGTCTTTTTCTTGGATTTTGTCTTCTGTGAGTTCTGGGTATCTTTATGACTAAATCTTTGAATTATATTTTAGCTACTCTTCATGGTATAAAGTGCGATGGAGTTTTCTCCTTTTCTCTTCCTTTTCAGATTAAATCCCTTTTGATCAGATTTGCAAGACATCTAGTCAGACAGATACATTCTTACCAGCCCTTGTTAAGTGCATTCCATCTTAGATTAATGGTTTGTCGGTCCTATATTATAAACTGTGTTCTATCCTTGGACACCATCATTTTAACTAGCTGTTCACACTTCAAATCTTCCTTTCTCTAAAATCTTTGCCTTTGACTGGTAAAAATGATGAAAAAACTACAGTCCTAAGATTTTCAGGGTCTTTTTGCATAAGACTTTATGACCCTTAGCAGCATTTTCTAGATTCCTTCTGGCAATATTATTTGTAGTCATAAAATCACTGTGAGTGGGTAGTAGGCATCTGCTGTGGAGTCCTGGGAGCTTCTCTGTCATATTCTGGATATATGTCCTCGAAAGAGCAGTCATCTGCTCTTCTCAGATCAACAAATAACTCTATTAGTAACCCTATCAATAGAGATACCAATTACTGCTATTTACCCTGTCTTCTCCTGACCCTAACTGAATGATCTCTTATCTGACATTGCTGTGAGATCCACATCATCACTGACTGAAGTGGAAGCAGCTGCTTCTTCCTCATGGGGTTTAGCTACATCTTCTTCTTCAGGAAGAGCCTCATATCTACCTAACTTTAGGAGTTCAATTTCAGTGGTGCTCATTCTTTCCTTCTCCTCTTGTTCTACTCTCTAATCTTCCAAAAAAAGTTAGATGATCTCTTTGACTTTTCCATCCTTTTTGGGGGAATCCTTCTCTTTCTCTCCTCTTCTCTGTGTTTATCTCTGTATCTCTTTTGTCTCTCTCTTCTTCTCTGTCTCTCTCTTCCCTCTTCTCTGCTTCTCTCTCACTTGCTTTCTCTCTTTCCTCCTTATTCTGTCTCTGTTTCTCTCTTTTTCTGTCTCTCTCTGCTTCTCTCTGTCTCTCTCCTCTCTCTCTCTCCTCTTCTCTCTCTGTGTCTCTCCCCTGTCTCCCCTCTTCTCTTTCTGTCTTTCCTCTTCTCTGTCTCCCCTCTTCTCTCTCTCTTCTGTCTCTCCCTCCTTACTCTCTTCCCCCTTCTCCTTCTTTAAAACAATTATTTGTTCTCCATGGTAATCTGAAGAGTGGAGAGGTATTCTCCAGCCCCTTTTTTTTTTGCCTTCTCTTCTAGGAAGGACACCAGTCTCTACTTTGAACAAAGATAAGTCACTTGGTTTTGACAGAAATATGAAATTTGCATTCTTCATTCAGGTCACTGCAAATTCTAGCTGCGCTCCAAAGGTGCTAGGATCTAGATCCTCGGTTCCTTATCACTCATGATAGCCACACCTATATTGTACTTGCCCTATCTTACCAACTCCCTTCTCTTTCTCCTTTTCCTTCTCCTTTTCCTTCTCCTTCAGCTCTGCCTTTTGCCACTTCCTCTGGTCCTTCTGCGTGAGTTTTTCTCTTTGAATTCACTTTCTCTAAAAATGAAGGCAGTTGGACTAGACAACTCTTTTCCAGCTGTCAGTCTAGAATTCTGTATCTGTGGTCCTTCAGTGCTAGATCCTACTCTTTCAGCTTTGAGGCGGAGTCCACCCCTTCTTTCAATTTTTCCTCAAGCCCTCCCATAGTTTCCTCACTAAATTCAATCTCTGGCCCTCTTTGCAATTCCCAAACTCTCCAAACTTCCTTCATAATTCCTTTTTCTTCAGCTCAAGCCCTTTTCCCATTCCTTCTCCAACCCAGCCTTTCCCTCATCTAAGAGGGAAGCAGACTATTTGCTTAGTTTCCACGTCTGTAAAATGAGGGGATTTGATCATTTAGAACTCTGAAGTACCACCCAGCTTGAAGTCCTGGGATCCTAAGCTATGTGACCTTGGCAAAGTCATAATTACTCTCAATGCTTCAGTGTTTTCATTTGCGAATCACTTTTGCAAATCACTTTAAATGTAAGTCACATGTAATATGCAGATGAAAATATTTATTCTACCAAACCACCTGTGATGACCAAATAATATACAACCTGTTTGTAATCAGCAAGTGTTAAATGCATATAAAATATTATTTTCATCATTTCTATATATGATTAGACACAAAAGAAAGATAAAACATGTTGAATCAAATACTATACTTTATTTTAAGGGGAGTAGAGATAGGAGGAGAAGAAGGCAAAAAGGACTGTTTTTTCTCTCTCCATCTTGGGAACCTGGGACCTAGACATTCAACAGGAGGGTTGTGAACTCTTTGAGGCTTGATCTTAGGGATGGTGAAATGAAAGGGTTGGGGCCAAACAGGCAGTGGGACTAGTTGTCTTATAGGTGGAGGGTTGCCCAGAGTTCGAGATCTCTTCCCAGAAGAAGGAGCTCGGGATCCAGTGTGGGGTGTTGTGTGAAAACTGGATCGAGTTACAGGCCTAGTCAGTGGTTGGGCCAGGGTTGCTGCTGGCTCCTCCTTAGGTGTTGATGGGGGGAGTTTTGAGGTGGTGGCTCCAGAAGTGCCTGAAGGTGGGTGGGAGTGTGGCATAGACTTTGAATCCAGGGCACATCCATAAAAACAGGGAGTAAAGATGGATAGTAGAAAAGAGCCAACATCCTGTGATTTCCCACTTGGATCCAGTCCTGGTGGGTTTATCTAAGGGGATGCCCAGCTCTGTGAGCTCTTGCTGCAAGTCTTCAAGTATCCATCTCCTCCTATGAAATATGAAATGGGGGAGCAGGGAGGAAGAAAGGTGAGATTTGCATTGAGACAAAGGGAGAGAAATAAGAAAAGAATTGGATAAGGATAAGGACTGGATTAGTGATTTTATTAGTATAGTTATCCATCCCTTTCACATTGTGACTCTCCCCATTGCGGTTTCTATATATCATGGTTTTGACATATTACAGGTCAGAAAAAGAAATTAAATAAATGTGAAAGCCATAGATAACACATGAAGGCCAGCAGATGACACAGATAAAGTTTAGAAACTCAGAAATGTAAAAATATATGTATAGTATTATATAATATCAACCCCAATTTTACAGTAAGGTACTGTAAACACCCCACAAAGAAAAGGAAAAAATTCAGACTTCTCTGGTACGAAGGGAGGGCCAAAAAATTTTACACGGGTTTTCCATATCTTAGGGGTGAGGAAATTCTCTTTACCAGTAGAAGCAGACAGAAGGAAAGAGAGTTAGCTGGAGAACGAGCTGTCCATATGTACCTTGAGCTGTCCATACATACCTTGAGCTCTTCCGGGCTAGTGGGACATCTTCCTCCACTAGGAGCCCACAGTCAAGAGGAAGTTGTTGCCTACAATGGTCGCCACTCATTTTCTCTTAAGAGAGAGATTGAGCTGGGAGAGGAGTGCTAATGGTTAGAAGACTGGAAATGGAAAGTAGGGCTAAAAAGGAAGGGTTCCTGACCTATTCTATGTCATCTCCTATTTCTGGGCTTTGCACAGGCTTCTCCATAGAATCTCTTCCTTCAAAATTCATCTCAATTACAACTGTTTACATCAGGGATTCTTTTTTTTTCTTTTGGCAATTGGGGTTAAGTGACTTGCCCAGGGTCACACAGCTAGTAAGTGTCAAGTGTTTGGTCTGAGGTTGGATTTGAACTCAGGTCCTCCTGAATTCAGGGCCGGTGCTCTATCCACTGCACCACCTAGCTGCCTCTACATCAGGGATTCTTTAAACTTTTCTGTGTCATGAACCCCTTTGGCAGGCTAGTAAGGTTCCTGTTATATAAATGCATAAAATAAAATACATAGGATTATAAAGGAATAACATTGAAATAAAGATGTAATTTTTTTCATCCAAGTTTATGGACCTCCTGACATCTCGGGGGGTGGAGGGATTGTTCATAGACCTTAGATTAAGAATCCAGTTTTACATGAAGTCTTCCTGGATCCCCCCACAACTGCTAATACCCTCCCTCTATAATTACCTTGTTTTATAAAACTTGTATTTATTTATTTTTTATATTTATTCTGCACATGCTACATCTGCTTATATATATTCTTGTCAGAAAGTAAGTTCCATCAGACTAGGGATTGTTCCATCATTTGTCTTTTTATCCCTAGTGCCTAACACATAATAGGTGTTTAATAAATGCTTGTTTTGATTGATTGATTGATTTTGAACCCTGGGAAGAAGGAAAAGAGGCCTCTTGATTGGTCCAAAACTCTCCATCTTTCTAGCACCTTCCCCTTTCCCTTGAACCCACCTTCCACCCCTACTACCTCTTGACCAGTTCTCTTTATTCTCCTATTCCGTAGGACTAATCTACTCACCAGATGTATTAACTTTGTTCTTTTCTGTCTTGGTGTTCCTATTCATGCTGTTTTGAATGCCTTTGTTCTATCTCTCTTTGTGAGAAGTTTCAAGGACCTAGATCATCCTAGCCCCATGAAACCTTCCTGGATACCCCCAGCCAGAAAGGTTCTTCCCATCCCCCTAAATTCAGATAGTATTTGTGTGTTTCTTCCTTAGATATAATATTTATGGTTTGCAAAATGATTGCCTCACAACAGCCCTATGAGGTAGGCAGTGCAATGATTGTTATCCCTGCAGAGCAGACAAGGAGGACCACTGAGGCTGAGAGAGGTGAAGGGGCTTACTCAAGGTCACACAGTAAGTCCAGGGGGCTCTTAATCACATATCCAACCACATCCAACCCAATCCAATTTAATCCAATCCAACCCAACCCAACAAACAAACATTTGTTAGGTGCAAAACTACATGTGCCCACTTTGTGCAAAGTTCTGTGCTTGGTGCTGGGCATACAAAGACAAAATGAAAACCACTCCTTGCCGCTGCTAGGCATATGTGCCCCTAAAGAAGTCAAAGACTAAAGGGTCTAAGATATACCAAAATATTCATAGCTGCACTTTTTGTTGGAGCAAAACACTGGAAACAAAACAGATGCCCGTCAAATGGGAAACGGATAAACAAATTGTGGTACATGAATATAATAGAATGCCGTAAGATGTATTGTCATATAAGAAAAGATGAACATGATGGGGACAACTCAGTAGTACAGTGGATAGAGCACCAGCTCTGGAGTCAGGAGGACCTGAGTTCAAATTCAGCCTCAGACACTTAGTAGCTGTGTGACCCTGGTCACTTAAACCCCATTGCCGAGAGAGAGAGAGAGAGAGAGAGAGAGAGAGAGATGAACACGATGAATACAAAGATGCATGGGAAAATTTATGAACTGATACAGAGTAAAGTAAGTAGAACCAGGAAAACAATATATAATTACAATCTGAATGAGATGTTCTTTTTTTTTTGTGGCTAGGCAATGGGGTTAAGTGACTTGCTCAGGGTCACACAGCTAGTAAGTGTCAAGTGTCTGAGACCACATTTGAACTCAGGTCCTCCTGACTCCAGGGCCAGTGCTCTATCCACTGTGCCACCTAGCTGCCCCCTGAATGAGGTATTCTTAACTTGGCATCTGTGAACTTGTTTATAAAAAATATTTTAATAACTCGTTTTCCATGTAATTGTTTTCCTTTGTGATCCTATATGTTTTATGCATTTAAAAACAATATTCAGACAAGGGGTTCGTAGGTTTCACAAGACTGCCAAAGTATATGACACAAAAAAGGTTAAGAACCCCAGGTGTAAATGTAGACCACAGTAACAACAAAGAAAATGAACCCTGTGTAATTAAAGTGACTACGCTTGGCTCTGGAGAAGAGTTGAAAAATTCACCTCCTACCACATCACACCTATCAGATTGGCCAACATGACAAAACAAGAAAATGATAAATGTTGGAGAGGATGTGGGAAAATTGGAACACTAATGCCTTGTTGGTGGAGTTGTGAAATGATCCAACCATTCTGGAGAGCAATTTGGAACCAAGGGGCTATAAAAATGTGCATACCCTTTGACCCAGCAATAGCACTTCTGGGGCTATATCCCAAAGAGATCATACAAATGGGAAAAGGACCCACATATACAAAAATATTTACAGCAGCTCTTTTTGTGGTGGCAAAGAATTGGAAATGGAGAGGATGCCCATTAATTGGGGAATGCCTGAGAAAGCTGTGGTATATGAATGTCATGGAATACTATTGTGCTATAAGAAATGATGAACAGGCTGACTTCAGAAAAACCTGGAAGGACTTGCATGGTCTGATGCTGAGTGAAATGAGCAGAACCAAGAGGACCTTGTACACAATAACAGTCATGTTGTGCGATGACTAATATTGATAAATTTAACCCTTCCCAGCAACACAAGGATCTAAAGCATCTCCAAAGGCCTCGTGATGGAAAATGCTATCCACATCCCAAGAAAGAACTATGGCGTTTGAATGCAGATCAAAGCATACTATTTGCTATTTTTTTTTCTTCTGTTGAGGTCTGTTTCCTCTTTCTGGTGGTTCCTCCTATTGGTTCTAATTCTTACTTACCACATCACTAATGTGAAAATATGTTTAATAGGAATGTGTATATATATATATATATATGTAGCCTATATCAGATCGTGTGCCGTCTTGGGGAGGGTGGTGGGAAGGAATGGGGAGAAAAATTTTCAACTCAAAAGCATATGGAAGTGATTGTTGATAAATCAAAATAAATTAACAAAAAAAGAAAAAAAAAGAAAATTTACCTTCCTCCCTTCTTTGCAGAAGTAGAGGACTATGGGTGCAGAACACTACAGATGTAGTCAGACTTGGTTGATATGGACACACATAGACATACATGTATAAATACAAAAATACATACACATGCATATATAGAAAGAAGTGTATCTATATATTCTTTTTAAATATATGTATGTATGTATGTATGTATGTATACAGGCAGCTAGGTGGCACAGTGCCTAGAGTGCTGGGCCTGAAGTCAGGAAGACTCATCTTCCTGAGTTGAAATCTGGCCTCAGACACTTACTAGCTGTGTGACCTTGGGCAAGTCACTTAAACCTGTTTGACTCAGTTGCCTCATTTGTAAAATGGGCTGGAGAAGGAAATGGCAAACCACTCCATATCTTTGTCAAGAAAACCTCAAGGGGCAGCTAGGTGGTGCAATGGATAAAGCACTGGCTCTGGAGTCAGGAGGACCTGATTTCAAATCCAGCCTCAGGCACATAACACTCACTAGCTGTGTGACTCTGAGCAAATCACTTAACCCCAATTGCCTCAGCAAGAAAAAAAAAAAGAAAGAAAACCTCAAGTGAGGTCACAAAGAATCGGACATGACTAAAATGATTGAACAATAAGAAAAAAATGTATATGTGTATATCTATATACCTATATTTATATTTCTGTCTATCTATGTAGAAATGAAGGTGATGTAAAAACAAAAGATATTAATAAAAAAAATAGTCCTCACCTTCAAAGGAGTCCATAGAAAGGTGGATAAGACACGAATAGATAAATATATACATGACAGTCTGAGGAAGAGGAAGATCGCTAACAACCAGAGGATCAGAAAAGGCTTCTGGAGGGATGAAGCACTGGCATTATCTTTTCAAATAGATTAAAAACTCCCTGAGAGCAGCAGAGACCTTGTCTTAAACAGCCTCAAATATCCTACAGAATTTAGAACTCATTACCGAGCCCACAGCAAATTCTTGGTAAACATTAGCTGGTTGAATAAATGAACAACCCTACACATCTTTGAGGGTGGGATGGGATGGAGGTGATCAAAAAGAGAAGGAAGCAAGAGGAATGAAAAGACAGGAAGGAGGGCAGGTATGGTGGAAAAGGCAATGCATTTGGAGTCAGAGGAGCCAGGTTCAAACTTTTCCTTGGCTTCTTACTACATGTACAATCTTGAGAAAGTCACCTAATGTCTCTGAGCTCCAGTTTCCTTATCTGTAAGATGACAGGCAGCTGGACGAGATATACTCTAAGGTTTCTTGCAATTCAAAATCTATGAGAGAGAGAGAGAGAGAGAGAGAGAGAGAGAGAGAGAGAGAGAGAGAGAGAGAGAGAGAGAGAGGGAGAGAGAGAGGAAGGAGGAAGAGGAGAGAGGAGAGAGAGAGAGAGAGAGAGAGAGAGAGAGAGAGAGAGAGAGAGAGAGAGAGAGAGAGAGAACACACATACTAGGGTATCATGAGAAAGAACTACCCTTATCTTACAAAACTCCCTTAATATTCATTAAAATTAATAGAAATAAGGTTCTGTTTTATTACTCATTGGGATGGACTGTTGTGTCATAGAATTTAGAGCTAGAAGGAACTTTAGAGACCATCTGGCTCAATCTCATCTTTTTGCCAGATGGGGCAAGAATCAGAAAGGGCAAGAATAGGTGGTAAATAGTGCAGTTGGCATTCAAACTCTAAAATCATTTCTCTTTCCATTATCTCAGGTTATCTCATCACATGCAAGTACCAAGATGCATTCTCAAACCAATTATAAACTTCGAGGTAAGCTCTTTGAGGCCAGGGGCTATTTTCCCCCTTTGTATCTCTAGCACTTCTCCTTGTACGCAGCAGATATTTAATAAATGCTCACTAAATAGAACTTTGCTAGATTATGGATGTCTCTAATGCCACTGCATTTGTATAGAACATAAAGAATACGTAGGATCATAGATTTGGAGTTGGAGTCAACCTAGTTCAACTTTCTTGTTTTACAGATAAAGAAGCAGAGGCCCAGAGAGAGGTAAAATAACTTCCATTATTCCACACTCGTCGTTGACTGCATTGGTATTTGTTAGAAGTAAGCTACCTCTAAAATGAACTCATGAAATCCAGGAGTGGGGCTGACAGCCTTGAAGACCCCATTACTGTCTGTTTCACTGATATTCGTGCATGCTCGCTCGCCCGTGTGTGAAGCAGGGAGGGGGTAGGGGGAGGAATTCTCCTGTGCGCATCATTTATCTTGATGGTTTTTTACTTTCTGTAATTTTCAGATTTTGAGAATGTAGGAAGAGAGCAGCCATGACTTCCTCTGAATTCTTTGTCCCATAGCATGATGGGAACTTACTCTTCCTACTCTGGAGAGCTCATCGACACCTCTTGCCTTCATGGGGATGCCCTGAGCTCCTCTCAGCACCTGTTTCTAATCATCATGGTATAGTGGAAAAAGTACTGGATTTGGGAGCCAGAGGATCTGCTTCCAAATCCAGTTTTTCTACTTACTAGCCATGTGATCTTGGGCAAGTCTCAAAACATCTCTGGTCCTTAGATCTGTTTTTGTTTTTGTTTTGCTTTTAAATTGCAAAACGAGGGGACTGGAATTAGATGTTCCCTAAGGTTTGTTCCCTACGATGTTGTCTCATTCAACTCTGACAGTTACCATAGGCCAGCATGTTAGATTTTATATATGCTTTTTTTCCCTTTTAGGCAATTGGGGTTGTGACTTGCCCAGGGTCACACAGCTAGTAAGTGTCAAGTGTTTGGTCTGAGGCTGTATTTGAACTCAGGTCCTCCTGACTTCAGGGCTGATGCGCTATCCACTGCGCCACCTAGCTGCCCCAATATATGCTTTTAAAAAGCTCCAAACTGCACATAACAAAAGCTCACAGCTTCACATGCAATCCTATTTCCTGATCTTCTTTGTATATGAATGTTCATGTTTGTTAGTATTCATATTCATAATAAAAAGGGAAATTGAAAAGAGAAAAAGAAAATACCATAAGCCCTAATATAGTTTGGATTGGGTTTTGAAAATGAGGTTCATGGATTCAAGGAGAGGAGGGGGAAAAGACATCTCAGGTAGGAAGAAGCCTCCATAATGTGACATACTATTTCGCATAGAATTCAGCTGAAGTAGAAACGTTTTTTATTCAGTTACATGACCTAAGATCATATAGCCTAGTCACTAGTGGAGCCAAGACTTGAACCCAGGTCTTCTGGCTCCTGGTGCCCTTTCCATCATACCACACTGGGGTCAGGTGAATAACAAATGGTAGATGGACAGCAAGTGTGTTTGGCTGGGGTACGGGAGTCTGTTGGAAAATATACATGAAAGAGGGTACAATGAGGTACACCATAGGGTGAGAGCAGGAGAAATGGGCCTGGGACACCTCTGATTCAAAGACACTGGACCCCATCCCTAACTAATCCATCAACAGGCATTTATTAATTGCCTACTGTGTGCTAGGCATCAGAATCCTCAAGAAGCTTACATTCTTTTGAGAGAAATGTGTATACATATAAGAAGATATAAGAAAAGAAAATGGAACCAGAGTTCTAGAGCCAGAACAGACCTTAGAAGCTTTTTAATCCAGCCTTCTCACTTCGCATATGAGAAAACTGAGACAGACAGAGGTTAGGTGATATGCATAGGGTGATACAGCTATTGGGTATCTGAGACAAGATTTGAACTCTGATCTTCCTGACTCCAGATCCAGAACCCTATCCACCAGGCCACATGCAGGGGGAGGGGAGGAAAAGTCAGGAAATAAAGGAAGAAAAAGGTTACCGTTCAAAATGATTAGAAAGATAGTGATGCCTTCAGCAGATTTAGGAAAGTTAGCAAAAGGGGGTGGGGTGGGTTTGTAGGAGAACGTAAGTTTTCTTTTGGCTTTGTCAAGTTAGAGATGCGTACAAGACATCTTGTTGGAAGTGTCCCATAGGTGATTGTGTATAAGAGAAGGAACTCAGGACAGAGATAGGGTGAGATGTGTGTGCACTGATGCTTATACATGCAGTCTGAGGGAGTTTGTCAGTGGGGAAGTGGGAGGGGTTCTCTCCTATACCTAAAAATTCTTTATTCTGCCCCCTAACAATTTTTTAGGAATCACAGGATAGTTGTTAGACCATTGGGAGCCTGGGTTTGGGTCAGGCTTTTTGGTGATGAAATTTGGATTAAGTGACTTGCCCAGGGTCACACAGCTGGTAAGTATCATGTGTCTGAGGCAGCATTTGAACTCAGGTCCTCCTGACTCCAAGGCTGGAACTCTATCTACTGTGCCACTAGCTGCCCCTGGGTCAGGCTTTTTGCTTTACTAGTTGTAAGTAAGGGTGGAAGTCAATTTGCTTCTCATGGCCTCAGTTTCCTCCCATGTAAATGTAGACAATAATAGTACCTATTTCACAGGGTTGTTGAATAAGATGTGAAGCAATTCACAAGCTTTATTATTATTCATTTTAAAGTAAGCTGTTATCAAAAGGAGGGGAGTGGACTAGCTCTTCAATATCCCTTCCAGCTGAAAAAATCTATAAATCCTGCCACAGCTTTGCCTGTAAACTCATCTTTCAGAAGGGTCTGAGTTCTCACTAGCCTAGGTTTCCCACTGTTAACTTGAGACAACTGTTGGGTGGAGGAGGGCAGAGAATTAATTTTTCCCTTTTACTCAGGATTTCCCAGATCCTCCCGATTGTCTGACATGTAGACCTACCCTATGGGCCTCTGAAGTCTATTAGGAATGGTCTATAATAAGGGGTGGAGATAAGGATGAAGGAACAAACTTCTTAGGCATTCCAATGCCCAGGCTTAGTTACTTGTGATGCCCCAGTTAAACGAACTGAGTCCTCTGCCTTTTTCATCACAAGCCCTACTGGAAACGGTTTGCCAAAATGAGCTCGGCACCTCCCCATTACTTCTGCTGGGGGAAGTCAACTCAGCTAGAAGAAAAGCAATAGATGAGGAGGGATGGCATGTGGGTGTGGGTTCAGCTAGGATACATCTATAGGTTCACCCTAGAAAGGAACTTGAAAGGCATTTTAGTCTAATGCAGTCTGAAGACTTGAATCTTTGTGTAATCCCTGAGTAATCCTCTAATAATTGCTACCTGAATGAGCCTGGACAAACGATTTGGCCTCTCGACCTCAGTTTTCCTCGTTGGTAAAATGGGTGTGGATGTTTCGCACTACATTCATCGCTAGGCTGTCGTGAGAATAGCGCTTCGTAAGTTTGAAAACGCTACAGAAAAGGGAATTATTAGAGTATTTCGAGCACTGGTATATAGGTAATTGCAGCCCAGCAGACCGGTCTCCTTGTCTCACTGCCACAGCTAACACGCTATTTTCCCCTCCCCTTCGCTCCTAGCTCTTGGCCCCCTCCCGGGGACGCTTAACCCTGTTTACAGGAATGGGAATTTGCATGATGAAAATAACCCGGGCTCGGGCCGCTATTTTACTGCCTTTGGCACAGGGCTCGGAAAAAGCGGCTGCATAGTCAATTACTGGAATTTTTAAACACAAATAATATTTTATGGGATCAGCGGGCTGGCGCAGCTCCTCCGCCCACGAACAAGCCTCATTGTGCTTGCAGGCCCCGACGGCCGCCAGAGCTGGGCCCGGCCTGGGCAGGTGCAGCGGCGGGGCCTTAGCAGGGCTCTGGGCGCCACTCATTCTTCACCCCCCACCCCTGCCTAGGGGAGGGGCGAGGGTTCCTCGGAAAAGCCAGGAGGTCCAGTAACAGCTTAAGGCTGTCGAGCGGACCTAAGATGGGTCAAGTCTCCGAGCAAGAACAGCGTCTTAAAACCAAGATTGTGCGTCTTTCCTCCCCCGCCCCCAACCAACCCCCATCCCTTGGGCTCACCTGCAGTAACTGGGCCCCAGCTCAGCCTGGAAGCTGTTAGCTGGTAAAGAGGGAACGCCCAGTCCGGCCTCTCCCTGACTCCCTCCCCACCACCGCTCCCCCCTTCTCCCCCGCCCGGCCCTGGCGGGCTCCCCACCTCTCTGGCACTGGGGCCAGCCGCGCCGCGCCGCCTCCGGAAGGCCGGCTTCCCGGAACGGCCCGAGGGCGTCGGGGAATCCGCGCTGGGGCGCAAAGCCCAGGACTCTACCCTTCCCTCCCCCCTTCCCCCTCTTCTCCCACTTCCCCCTGCCCTAGGGGACAGTAGCGCGATGCTGTCCCCCTGCCCCGGAGATTGCTTTAGAGGTGAAAGGGAGGCCAAATTCGCAGAGTTAAACTGGGGAGAGATTCCTACAGGGAGCCCAAAGTGCCCAAACAATCCTGGAGACTGGCCAAGGGAACCCCAGAAGCGGCTTAATTAGCTTCTTAAGCTTCCAGTACTCAGGTTGTCAGGACACTTGAGTTTTTGTCCTTTAGAATCACAGAATGTTAGGGCCTGAAGGGACCTCAGGAACCAAGAATGTCAGAAAACAATACATAAAATGTCGAGGCTGGAAGTCTTTCGAATATAGAATGTTGGAACACAGAAAATAGGATATTATTACATAGTACACAGAATGTTGGGACCTTAGAACATGGAACATCAAAATACAGAAGACACAATTTCAGGATCCGAATGGACCCGTTGGAAGACTCGAACAAAGAATGTTAGAGCTGAAAGGGGCCTTAGAACTTGCGAGCCATGGGCCTCGAGTTTCTTCATCTGGAAAATTAAAGTGTGGGACACTAAAGTCCCTTCTCCTTCGAAATTCTATAATTCTACGAAATGTCGAAACCATGGAACGTTGCAGTACAGAACGTAGAACTTCGGAGCTCATTTTGCAAACAAGGAACCTGAGTGGTACAGAGAGGGGATTAGCCCAGGGTCATCCAGCGAATTAGTAGCAGATCCTGGCAGGACCCAGTCCAAGGATCTTTCCATCAAAGAGTCTCTAAGTCTCCGTTTGTCATTCTATCACCAACAACCCAGTTCCAGTGCCAAGATTCCCCTCGTGCCCTCCCACTACTTTCCCCGCCAACCCCCCACCCCGCATACGCAGGGTTAAGCAGGAGCAGGTGTGCAGCCAGATGCGGATGACCACCCTCCTCCCACCACCCCCCACTACCGTCCGCCAGCCCGCCTCCTCCCCCGCCCACCAGCTCTATACCAAACAGACCCAAATAAAAGTGCTATTGTTGCTTGGGCTTTCCCCCACCCCTTTCCCTCCTCCACCACCTGGAGCAAAGCCTGTTTGCGTCTTCACCTGCCCTGGGGTAGGGCGGGGGTAGGGGAAGAGAAGTTGCGGACTCGAGGAGCCACGGGGAGGGGACATCCGCTCCGCTCCCCCCCACCCCCACCCCCACCCCTCTCCTAGACTCCCTTCGTAGGGGCCCGAGAGAAACTCTTCACCCTTTCTGTCCGGCGGTGCAAGAGAGGCTGACCATTGAACTCCTGGTCACCAGGCAGTGCACTGGACAAGGGAGGTTCCATCCCGGGAGTAGCTGCCAAGGGATAACAGCTGAACTCTTAGTGGTTTCCCTTGGTCCCCCTTTCTCCCTCTCTAT